ATAATGAGTCAGATAGCATAGAATTTTTAAGAAATGACATAAGCGTCTCTAACATTCTTTGCGTTATTTGACAGAAATATTGGTAAAACTATAGACATCCGGAACTCTCTTACTGGGGTGGGAGGGGGAGGGGGAGGGGAAGGGTTTAGGGGAAACTGAATATCCTTCCCCCGTTGCGAAAATGTATAGTTTCGTTATACGCAATTTTTTGTGAAATTTATTTTTATCGTAATTAATTTAAAACGTATTTCCGACATCCAAATACAGTGTAAAAGATTCAAACTAAACCCTGACAAGCCTCTTAAATCGAAAACATAATTAAAATCAAGTACCGGACGTCTATAGCCAACCCGAAATATTTGTACTCGGTACATGATGAGTCTATCTTTGAGTAATAACAAACATATGGAATATTTTTTAGACATAGACCTAGAATTTTACGCCATGCTATTTGGGCGAATTAAATAAGAATTTTGTATAAGCACTGTGTGAATGCTTTTGAATAAATGAATAAAATAACTAATGAAATATAAGCAAAAATAGATAATCGTACAGATGTATTAACAAACTTAAATGGTGTGTAAGGAGCTTATGACTTTTGGATAAAACGAATTATGTCGTCAAATTCCAACTTCAACCATTTTATGATGTACTTTATTTGTAAGAAAAAAAAAAACGATCTCGAAATAAAAGAAAGTTTAGTTTAAGGGAGTGAAACAATTAAACCTTAGAAAAGAAATTGAGGCATTGAGGCTTGTTTTTATCATGAACAGGGCAATGCCATCGCATGCCAACGCACAAAATCGACAATCACGACCAACTTCGAATAATCGGAAGCTAATAATTGCGAAAGAAATCGATAGGGCTGCAGGTGTAGCCAATTCTGCCTCTGTGCTCTGACTTTGCCTTGGCAATAACTCTTTTGAAGGACCTGGAGGCGAAGTTATACTTCTTTTTAAGTGGGCTGGTGTTTACATCCCGAGTCGTCGAAGCCGCAGCCCAGGCTTGATAACACTCCTGCTTACTGCGTAATGCAGTCTTACAGGAGCGACCAAACCAAGAATGAGATCTGCCTCCGATGGGTACCACAGATGATGGAATAAATAGTTCCATTCCCTGTAGCATCACATCAGTGACAGAGTCAGCAACAGCGCTGGGATCATCCGGCGAGAAGCAAACCCACCCCCATGGGTAGGATGCAAAGAAAGACCGCATTCCGTCCCAATCCGCCGACCTGTAATGCCAAACACGGCGGCAACCTGCAGAACGCAACCGCGAAGGGAGCGTGAGTGGCACCACACTCCGGGTCAGACAATGGTCCGAAGAGCCGAGAGGGGCATCGACGGAAACCTGATATCCGTCCGGATGAGAGGTCAGCAGAAGGTCCAACATGGAAGGTGTATGATCCTCCACATCTGGAAGCCGCGTAGGCGAGGTAACCAGTTGTGTCAGACGATATGCCAAGGCAAAGTCATAAACAGATCTACCCGCATGATCGGTTAAACGTGAACCGAGCCATTCGGCGTGGTGGGCGTTAAAATCGCCAAGGATCACGATCTCTGCGGATGGGACCTGTTGTAGCAAGGAATCTGTAGCCATTTGGACGTGGTCGATGAGTCGGTCTGTTTCGGCATTACCGCTATGGGACCTATAGAGGCACCCGTAGACGCGCGGATGGTCGTCGCTGTCTATGCGTAGCCAAAGGATGGACAGGTCCAAACCTTCAAAACTGCCGAGGAGGTCTTGAAGGTTGCTTGCCGAGGTTGGTGCGTAAACCTGTATGATATTTAACAAATACCTTTACCGAATATGATTCTATTTCTTTTTAATAATTTATATTTATTCAATGATGTAATTCAGTTTTTATTCCTTATAATTCTTTTATTTACTAAATAATCAACGCATGTTGTGATTACCCATAAAAAGAAATACTATTATAATGTGTTTAATTTGTTATGAAAATGATCTTTGTATTACTGTGGTAGTTTCAGTTGGTAATCCTAATAAATAAATAAGATGCGCAACCCTCGTCGATGCACTCCCAATTTTAACAAAAGACTTGTGGTTCATAAATCTGAAATTTCCTTGGGATAGATGGCCGCCCTCCCGGTGATAGAACCAGCCGGATTCTTGCATTACCGTGTCCTTCCCCTTTCTTCGTACCTCAGATAATCCTACAATATCCCAGCGCAACTTGTTTATCTCTTCTTCAAGCTCCAGGGTCTTTTAGTCAGTCTTCAGAATGCGTACGTTGAATATTGCCAGGGCGAGTCGTTTTAGATGGCAACCGAATCTCCATCCGAGATTCTCAACACCCCCTACCCCACCGTTACCATGGTCGCCACCGTAGCCAAGAAAAGTGGGCCCGCCGGGAATCGGGGCCGTTTCTAAATATTCGTTCTAAAACCGAGAGAATATATATAAATATTATTAAATTTTACATTAAGAAATAATAATGTTAATTTTTTTAATGTAAATAATTTAATTCACAAAAATAGATTCGGTTTCACAAGAGGTCGCTTGACAACTGATGCTGGTCTTGAGCTGATTAAATATATCTTCAATTCATAGAATGCTTAGGATATATTCTGTGACCATGAAACATTAATCAGTAAACTTCAACACTTACATTGTAGTGTTGAAGTTGAAGAAGTGATGTAAAGCAGTAGTAAGAATTAATTATTTCATATTTAAGTAACAGAACGCAAATAATTGTCTATAATAAATAGTATGAGGTCTTCTGGGTCGATATTATAAATTAGAGTGCTTCAAGGCTCAATTCTCGGCCCCATTCCTATTTCTTTTATATATTAATGTCTTACCTTATATAGTAGTGAATAACCCATGATATAGTATTATTTGGTGATGACACTTCGTTAATTGCCTGTTTAAACGACAATTATTAAAATATGACGAAGTAAATAATGCTATATCTAAATTAGTAAATTGGTTTAATGTTAATAACTTGCATTTAAATGGCACTAAAACGAAATGTATGAAATTCATGACTCCGAATGTTAAATATTGAATGCGGACATAACATTTAAATAATAATGTAATTTTAGATGAGAAGGTACTGATTCTTGTCGATACCACAATTTTTCTTGAAATCACATTAGACGCAAAGTTTCAATAGGGCTCCCATATATCAAAACTAGCAAGCAGACTTAGTTCGGCGGCATATGCTGTAGAAAATATTAGAAATCTTATCAGTGTTGAAACAGCTAGACTAGTTTACTTTAGCTATTTCCGTAGTATAATATCGTATGTTATTTTGCTATAGGGACACGCGACTGACACTGAAATTATATTTGTTTTACAGAAGAGGGCCATAAAAGCAATCTTTGATTTAAAACCTTAAGAGTCGCTTCGACTATAATTTATGGAAATTAAAATGTAATGTACGTACACAAAAATTAAGGTAGTTTTACAAAAATAAGAGATACCCATTCTGTAAATACTAGGAACAGACACAAGTTAGTAGTACGAGTGACTCAACTCTACAGAGTTAATAATTTATTCTTGTCCTTATGTATACGCTTTTACAACAAAATCTCAGAAAATATATAAAATTTGACCTGCTCAAAGTTAGAATATAATATAGGATAGAATGAAGCCACAATATATTCCTTTACGTCTCAACCATTCGGCATTAAAACCATAAATGTATTTAAAATATGAGCATAATTTAGTACTATAATTATGCATAAAATAGTAAAAAATCTTCCAAATGCTCATTAAAATTTCTTTGCTACACAAAACAACAAATTTTTTGCGGATGTATCATATTACGTAGATTCAAAGTCAAGGATGAAAATCGTTTTGATAATATATAAAGCTTCGCTTTCATAATTCTTCATCAGTTCAAGACAAGTACTTCACTCATACAGGTAAGCAGTGACTATTTTATAACTTCTTAAGTGTTAAGATTTGAAATATTGTAAGGTTGGTGTAATACTGAGGTAATGTCAAACAATACCATCGCCGTGTTTTATTGGTTTTACCGGTTGATATCATAAAAGCCGACTACGGAAAATGTGGATTATTACAACATCCAACAGACTGCGGCAACACCATTTAAGAAATGACGGAACTATACCTAGAACGGCAATTACATAAGCCGGTCGGTTGTTAATCCGTCAAGTTGAGCAATAATTTCCACCCTCCGGCTTGTCATAGGCAGACTAGCAAAGAAAGTTAGACGGAACGCTGCGTATTGTTCAAGTAACGTTCATCTTTCTTCTTTCTTCTTTCTTTCTTTGACAGCCCGTCCACTGCGTATGCACTTTGTGTCATGTTGTTAATTGCAAATGATTTCAGATGCATATGTGTCCGCGAGTGCCTGTTCATACTCGTGTAATAATCTGAACAGATTTGACTAATTTACAGATTTGATTAAATTAGTAACAGAAGCCTGTGTTACTAAATTAATCTTTTTAGTTCTTTGAAGTCGAGTTTTATTTTTATTAAAATTTTTTTGTTGACACATATAACTATTTTTTTCTGAAATATGCGTTGGATCATATGTGCTGAAATAATTCAGTCGGTGAATTTTCAATATCAATCTTAGCCTGATCACTGCATCGCATAAGCGTTGTTATAATTAATTGCGTTGTTGAAATTATCCAGAAGAACATTATCATCATAACCAATTTCGTATTCAGATAATCCTCGTGGTTAACATTAAGAATTTGACGAGTCTAATTTTTCAAACTAACTTTTATAATAACATATTAATCAAACAATCAAACATCAACAGCCAAACAAGTTGTTTTTGTGTATGCACAAGCACGTAAGATCTTCAGAGAACTAATATGTATTAATCGCGTTACTCATATCTTTTCGTATAGAAAAGCGTTTATATATACTTTAATCGTCTTATTTTAGTGTATGTAGTGTTAGTTCTAAAACTAAATGTAACGATGTCGAATTTAATAACTTGTGGTACATCAGAATTTCATTCTCTAATAGAAAACCAATAATTTTTATTATTTCCAGACATGAAGATTGCAATTCTTTTATCCGTCTTTGTAGCAGTGGTTGTGGCAAGACCCGATGAAGAGTTGTACAGCAGATATGAGAACTTTGACGTAAAAGAACTTGTATCCAACCTACGACTGCTTAAAGCATATACACTCTGTTTCCTAGGTAAAGGAAAATGTACACCAGAAGGAAATGATTTTAAAAGTAAGTTTAATAGAAATAATGTGGTGTAATTTAGATTTAAGATAATTTTTAATTTTTTTTAAAATATCCAAGTTTTTCTGTTTTCCTGGCATTGCTTTTTATCTATTTATAAAGTTTCATGGCAATCGGTTTTAACATTCTGTAGATTAGCCCGGGCAGACAAAATTTTTTGTCATGTTACGTCTTGATAGCATGCAAATAGCCCCCTGAGCTTAATAGAAGCGATTTATTTCATTATTACAAACAAACACTACATTTTTATTTGTTTTTTATTGTTTTAATTGCTATAAGAGATCATGTTTACGCTTAGTAAGGATAAAATTTGCATAAAAACCAGTTTAAAAGAGCAGCATAATGTTTCTGTATTTTGTGTGGTGAGTGGCGAAAACCGGAGACACGTTACATGGGGTCGAAAAATTCCATTTTAACTATTTATTTCTATAATAAATAGATATTAAGTTTTTTCGGATTTACATTAGATAAATTGATATCATAATGACTACCTAAAACATAACAAGTAACTTCCGCCTAGAGCGTCCCTTGCTGACTCTGCCAATCACTTCTGCAACATAAATTTGTTTTGTCACTCTTTCCTCATTTTTATAACGTGGTAGAGCCACGCTGCAGTTATATTAGTAGTATATTTATAGCACAATTGGGTCCGCTCGACCAGGGAAGGACCACGCTCTCACAGAATAACAGCGTAAAATAGCAGCTTAACACTGCTGTGTTTCGTATGGTGAGTGTAGAAACCGGAGACCCATTTTACTGGAAATGAGGCATTCCAACCTAGTCCTCACGGGTGACAACGTATCTGCATTTTGGTTTGTAATAAATGTCTATGGGTCGCAGCAACCACTTACCTTCACATCAGGTGAACTGTGTGCTCGTTTATCACCCTTATCCTACAAAAAAAATTATTCCTTACACATGACCAAAACTTTTTCATATAAATCTATTTTCAAGTATACTTACGAGTAAAATTCAGTAGCAAGGGTTATGGAGCGATTTATCCGCCACGTCGCTCTTGCCTTTAAATGTCTTCGAAAAACTATTTTTTATTTAAATTATATTACTTTAGAGCAGAAGCCTTTCTCAAGTGGTTTGCTAAGCTCAACATGCTGGAGTCATTGTCAAAAATTACCGGCTGGACATTCTATCACTCGAATGGCTCAATTTTTCCTGATTTTGTGTTAACTTTATATAAATTTTAATTATGCAGAACACGATGAAGATTGCAGTCGTAATATACAAAAGATATTATAATTATTTAAAAATAATTTATGTATTTAAATAATTCAAAATTTATATTTAATGATAATTATATACTCAACTATGATTTTCACTAATTCTGTGTTGACTTTTAGAATTGATGCCAGAGGCGGTACAAACCGAATGCGGAAAATGTTCAGAAACACAGAAGTCGCAAGTTGCTCAAGTAATTAAAGCCATTGTAGAGCAACTGCCTGTTGAATGGGAAGAATTATCTAAAGAATATAACCCTAATGGAGTTCACACGGTCAAACTCAATCAGTTCCTGGAGAAATACGCAAAAAATTAATTTGATTTAATTTTTAAAATAAAATGTGATTTATTTTGGAAATAAAAGATGTTTTTAAATTAATTGTGACTTATTTTTAATATAACGAAATAATGGAAATTAACCGTGCAGTAGCGGTGTAAGAACATCTACTATCCTACCCCATATCAGCCCCTAGGTATTATGAAATGCTACAGAGGTTAACTGAAACAGGAGGTGGGCAGCACCATATTCCTGATAGCAGCTCAGAATAACGAAACTCAACGGTTGCCAACCCGCCCGCCAAACATAGCTATTAAATAAAAATCCTATATAACTATAGAAAAAATTATATTTATTTAGTACAAGAAAGGGCAAACGAGCCTTAGGTTCACCTGATGGTAAGTGACTACCGCCGCTATGATACGATACGACTATGCCTTGCTGGCCTTTTAAAAAATAGAAGGCTCTTTTCTGGAAGGTCCCTAAGTTGTATTGATCCGGAAAAATCGCTGGAGGTAGCTGATTACTGAAAGAAGTTGTGCGAGGAACAAAACTTCTAGTTTATCATAATTGCAGTGGTGTACTGCAGTGCTTTGGTGAAACTTAGCAGCTGGATTCAACCTGAACAATTGCTCAGAGCACTGCTCGTGATAGATGCGATAGAATATGCAAAAGGATGCGACTTCGAGATAATCTATAATAGAGGTCTATGTTCAGCGGTGGACTTTTACTTGCTGTGATGGATGGATGAAATGGATGAATGGACATTAATTTGTTTCCTTTATTAATCAACTACAATACCAAAATTAATAACAAGTGCTATAAAATCATCACATAAAATTATAGCTGCTACAGTTTCTATACTTTTTAATTAATATATTTTATGCTATAAACAATATAAAAATTGACGTCATCATAATATATCAGTTTAAAAGAGAAAAGTAATCATCCGCTCTTAATAGCAAGTTCAATTAATAATTTGGAACACCCAAAAGTGCACGGCTCATGAGCGTTTAATTTAACTTTGATGGAAAAAATAAAATAGTGACGATAATTTTTACAAGAAAAAAAAAACCAGAGAATCTGATCGACTTAAATTGATAACTTTTAAATGGTGCTGTGTTCAATAACAAAAATCAATATGGATCCTCTTTAGAATATATGGAATCTTATTTAATACTATCAGGGTAGCAATGACTAGTCGGAGTCGGGCTTTTTTTCGATTTAGAGGGGAATGAACGGAGCCTTGGTAGCTCACATGCTTAGCACTCGCTGTATATTTCACAGTATGCTATCATACGTGTTCAATCCCCGCCGGCACCAATGAAATTGTAGATTTACCACGTGCTCCGCGGTGAAGGAAAACATCGTGAGGAAACCTGCATGTCTGAGAAATAAGAAAAAAAATTTCGTAAACATGTGAAGTTCGCCACCACGCATTGGGGCAGCGTGGCGGACACTTCCTTGCCTTAAAACTCTCTCAGAAATAAGTGGAGGCCTGTGCCCAGCAGTGGGACGTATAAAGGCTGTAACTTTTTTGAACGGAGGAAAATTTGTTAGCCTTTAATTTATGTAGGAATAAATGCAATCAGATGGTACGATGGTACTATATCCATACTACTATATGTAACTCTTCGCCAGCCGACGTTTGGAAATTTCTAAAACCTTTCGGTATGGGGTAAGGTTACCCAGGGGGTCCTTCTCTTTCTCTCAATGACTTGAATCTGAATGAATTTCGTTTCTGCTACAGCAACGGACCCCGCAATTCGTGCTCAAACTATAGCTTATTTCGCTTCAATCCAATCTTCTCACACCTCAGTTTTCTATTTCCCAACGATTCATCAGGATGTGGTTAGAAACGTTGTGGTGGTATTCAAATCCAGGGCCGTGGGTTGTGATGAAATCAGTAGAGATATGATAGTTCACGTCTTAGAGTATATTCTACCAGCTGTAACGGATATTATAAAATTTTCTCTAGACTCTAGACAGTATCCAACCTCTCGGAAAATGGGCTATGTGCGTGCCCTTTCTAAAGTTTCAAACCCCTTACTCCCTAACCATATTCGCCCCATATCTGTCTTGCCCTTTCTTTCCAAAATTTTAGTGACTGTGTGTATATAGGCAAATCTCCAATTTCATAACCAAAAATAACCTACCGAGTGCTTTTCAGTCTGGTTTTCGTTCCGGTCACAGCACCACCACTGCTTTGCTAAAAGTAACTGAGGGTATAAAATACGGAATGGATACTAAAAATGTAACAGTGATAGAAGTAATAGACTTTTCCAACAATTTTAACACAGTTCTACCACGATATACTCCTATGTATCCTTTCCCATCTTAAATTTGATCCCTCGGTCTTGGAATGGTTTTCCTCTTACCTTCGCGACCGCCAGCATTCAGTCCACGTAATGAAGGAGAATGCCCAGTGGTTAAGTCTTGATTCCGGTGTGCCGTAAGGTGGTTCTACCTCCTATATTATTTTCAGTTTTCATTAACTACATATCCTTCGTCATTGATTGTTCGTACCATCTGTACGCAGACGATCTCCAAATATATGTGCAATCGGAAATCGATAGTCTTCATGATGCTATCGCTAACCTAAACCATAACTTGAAAGCCTTTTATGACTAGTCATCGATTTTGGCGTTTCTGTCAATCCAACTAAATGTCAAGCAATGCTTGTTGGCCGCTCAAGAATGCTGGCAAAAACTGACGCGAGTTGCTTGCCACTCGTATTTTATAATGATAATTATTTGATCCCGTTCTCTGACTGCGTAAAAAACCTGGGTCTATATACCTGGACAAGACGTTGAACTGGGGAAAACAAGTTACTGAGGTCAGCTACCTGCTGCCTTAATATCGCTCTGCCGTCTGAAAAACTTTCTGTCATACAGAATTAAACATTTGCTTGTTCAAACACTCATCTTGCCTGTCATTGATTAGGCAGATGTTTATTATTCAGACTTGAACCAAAACCTTCTCAATAAGCTTGAGCGCCTTATTTATAACTGTATCAGGCTTATTTTCGGCCTTCGAAAATATGACTTCATCTCTTAATTTCGTATTCGGCTTAAATGGCTATCCAGGAAAGGCGCACTTCCAGAATATTGTCTATTCTCTACTCCATTTTAAATGATTTGTTCTCCCCTTACAATCTTAAAAAATTTCAATACCTTTCCTCCAACCACGACAAAGTACTTCACTCTTCATGTAATCTGAAGATTTTAGTTCCACTCCATTTGACTGGCTTTATCGGCAATTCTTTCACTATTCAGGCTACACTTCTCTGGAACTACTTACCTGAAGATATTAGGAAAGCAACATATAAGATAGCCTTCAAAAGATTGGTCCGGGAACATCTTTCGAAAACAACATAACACAACATAATGTCAACACTGTTACCTTCATCCAGACATATTATGTATTATGAATAATTGTTATATTTGGACTATTATGTATTTGTTTATATTCCTATGCATTAGTGTAATTTATATGCTATTTTTTAAATATGTGTTATATCTATATAAATTTATTATATTTGGTTATTTAAGTCACCTGCCACTAATTCCTCAACACGCCATGGGTTGACTGGCAGAGAATGCTAACTGGAGTTAAGTCTGCCCTTTGTAACCTTTATGGTTAGAATAATAAAGCTTTTAAATAAATAAATAAATATATTTCAATCTATTGGTTACATTTCTATTAAGCGAGAAGTCTCACCGACGGACAGACCAACGCACGGCAGTCTATATATTTTTTCAATTAATTTTATTTGTTATGTATTCTAAAGGGAATCAATTACAAAATAAACATTCATTTTATTTTGTAATTGATTCCCTTTATTATTGATTACATTCATCATTGAGCAGTCCCAGCATCTTATTTGCTGTAAATGTTTGCGTTGTACTGACAGTGGTACGACGGTAGTTTTAAAACTTTGCCTATATTCTGCTGCGAGTGCATCCACAATGTATCTTGGTGATTATCGATTTCGTTTGAATATACGAACCAACTAACATTTTAACATAGACTCATCTGTAGCCATGATCACGAAGTCAGTTTATAATGTAGGATTTTAGTTGGCTTGAATATGCACTTTATTTATTATCCGAGAGTGATATGGTGTGTTATCCATAATAATCACTGATGCAAGCAGTATAACTAAAGTTTGTTAATTAATGCAATATTATAAAATAAATTATTTTTTTCAGTCAGTTTTCAAACACATAATACAATAACTATATTTAAAAAAACATAATCACGAGATTCCCAAATTTTAAATGGGTATCTGAAAATTATTGACAGCTTTGCCCTTCTTCTAGACGTGTGGACCTTAGGCACAGTACATCAGCACATAAAAAAGCTTTTGGTTAAGTTGTCAATTTCAATATATTTTTGAAGGCACATAGCTCAATAGGAATAATAAAAATTACGGTCACTACAATATCTATTTTGTTTCACCATACTATACATATTATTTAAACATTTCGAACTTTAAAATGTACCACTTCATATAAATCATATTTCGCGTGAACTGTCAAATTATAACATAACTTGAGCAGTTTAAATTTCCACTCAATGCAAACCGATAATTCGTCTAGGTAACTTCAACATTAATTTCAGCATTTGTTAACATATTTGGGCACATTAAGAAATTATAAAAGTAGTTGTACGTTTAATATAAATCGTATTTATAACAAAACATATTTATACGTTGTAGAATCATGCTGCAGCTATATTATTAGTATAGTCGTAGCACGAATGGGTTTTCACGACCGGGGAAGGACCACGCTCTCAGAGAATATCAGCGTAAAATAGCATCTCAATGCTGCTGTGTTTTGTATGGTGAGTGTAGAGAATCGGAGACCCACCCTATTTACTGGAAACGAGACGTTCCATCTTAGTCCTCACGGGTGACAAAGCATCTGAATTTTGATTCGTATTTGAGGATAGATGTAGATGTCTATGGGCCACAGCAACCATTTACGATCAGGTGGACTGTGTGCTCGTTTTTTACCCCTATCTTATAAAAGAAATAA